GTGTTTTTTCGGCGTCTGAATTATTTGGAATCCTTGTTGATTCCTACTATTAAATACTACTACCATACTTAAAATTCAGTTTAATACTAATATACGTAGTCTCAAATAATTAGTGCTACACATATTTTCTTTGTCTAAAATGGACTCACAGAAATGGAAGTTAGGCTTTGAATATAACATCTTTACCCTAATGGTGACATCGCACGCCTGACAAGTTTATCAGGGCACCTCCACTATATAATTTATCTCTAAACCACTAATTCCTTATGAATTGGTTATTAAACGTTATATCTAGAAATTCAATTAACTTAGAGCAATCTGCATGTGTAGAGTTTGATTTTACATTAGATAGATTCCTACATTTTTTTTGATACTTTTTCGCAAAATTATTGTTTTGTGTAGATTAAGCTCTACTCTCCAAGTATCGCAACAGGCGGTGACGTGATTTAAAGAAGTTTAAACTCTTTATTTAATTTCTATAATGCACGTTGGTGTATAAAATACATTTTAATACTACAAATAAACGACCTTAAAACATCAATTTTTTATTTTGGTATTTTAAGGTTGTTTATTTCTAATATTAAAAAATTTAAATTCTTGGTGCGAAAATAGAGGGTCACATGACGTGCTCCTTATATCGTTAGATTGTTGAACCACGTGTAATAATATTAAAGCTGGCAACAAAATGTCGTTATCAAATATGATATATATCATAATAATAGGTTAAGTATTAAACCTAGCGGCACGCCTCCTTAAAATGGGAAGGAGTTAAGTAATGAGGTATTGATTTTTATTTAGCAGAACGATTAGAAAAGAAACTTGAAATCCAACTGATTAAAGAGATAGGCATACTGCATTTCAATAATCTGTACTTTAAGCCATTGTGCCAAAGCTTTTTTAACATCAATAAATACTCTAACAGTCGCATGATTTTGATCAAAGCCCTAAAATGCTGTTTTTGTTAATATTATTAAATGGTCAATAGTTTGCTTGTATTAAATAGTTTATTATTTTCTGATTACCACACGAATATTTAAGAGGTTATTTTATTAGATTACCCAGTGGCGTTTCTTGGATTTTTTATTTGGAAGAAGGGGACATAAGGGGCAAAAGAGTTAGTTTGAGGTAGGGGTAGAAAAAATTAACACTTGTGTTAGTGGGAATCAAAATGAAGATAATTTTAAACTCTTATGAAACCATATCTCAGATGGGGGACGGCTGTGGGGCATAACTTTCCAATGGGGATCTGCCCCCATGCCCCTAAGTTAACCTGTGCAATTTAAAAAGCTAATTGGGCGGTAGTTACTAGAGTTACTGAGTCCTGAACTTTTCTAAGATATAACTTTAATTGTGGCTCCTTTCCATCTAGAGGGGTAATATAAAGATTGTAAATATAGATTGTATGTAGCGCTAAGATGTGATATGGGTATTGCGAATTTCGAATGCACTGCCGTCTTCATATGGATTGAATTCTTCAGGCGTTTAATGTATACTCTTATTTCAGCTTTAGAGATGGGCTTGCTGTAGCATCGCCATAGAGGGGCGGATTAGGATAGTATACATTGTGGGAAAGAACAGGTTGTGTTCAGTGATTGTATGAAATCAATATGTTAACTTTGTCAAAATTATCTACATCAAGAATGTTTAAATATTTATAATATTTAGCGAAATTACAAGCTTTTTCTTCGTTACTCATGCCAATTAAGTTATCATATTCTATATTGTGATGAAGTGGCATTACAGATATATTTGAATTTTCTCAAAAAAAAAGATGACGAAATTCGTTTTGAATTATCTATAAAGTCACAGAGATTCTTCCAATTTGATTCTTGCTCAACTCTGATTAAATTTTATATGCCATTCTTTTACTAGTAATTAGAAGTTTAAGTGATAAGTCGCGAGTGGCTATAATAAATTAAACGACACGGGCTTCGTTTGTTAAGATTGAGGTTGTGAATTTGCGGTGTTTGTAATTTCCTTGATTTTAGATTAAGGATTCTCATGTGTATAGGAACAAATTTGTTTATAGCTTTAGAAACAGCCTTAGAGGTAGAAAGAGCATAATTATAGAGGTGTAAGATATCCCGTGAGCTATGTAAATGAGTATGGGTATTGTTTTTAAGATTAAAAGACTATTTTAAGATTCAATGGACGGATGTAGTATAGTACCACTGTGGTCAGTAGTAAAGCAGTTGAAGTTTTGTTGTTTGGAGTTAAGTTCTCGTAGGATAACAGTTTGTTTAATTACTGATTGAAGAAAAGCGATGTCTGGAGTGATACATGGTGAAACGTATGAGAGGAATGAAACAACCAGAAAGTTGGGAAGTGGATATTACATAGAGTGTGTTCGTTGCATTTGGTAACGGAGTTGTTTGGAGAATATATTTTTAAATCTATTTTGTATAATAACACCATGCGTCTGTAACCTGGAGCTTTTAAGTTTAGAGGGGAAGCTGAAAGTGGGTGGAAATATTCAAAAATGTTTCATTTATGATTGCAATATCGACCTCTAGGTTGCTGCTAAGTTCCAATAGTTCAACTTTCTTATGATAAAGGCAGAGGCGACGCTAGGCGCTGGCACACTGGCTCCGTTCCCTGATTCTACTTGATAGTATCCCGAATCTCCAGTTGGTGTCTTGAAAATTCCGAATTGAAAACCATGATCGATATCATATTGAAAATCCCCGCGCCTACGGGCTCGAGCTCTGAATTTTTTAAGCACCTAGCGGTGTCTCTGGATAAAGGTTACCTTATATGTAATATTTCAACATTTACCTTGAGTGAAACTCTATACTGGCGCAGTGTAATGTAATCATTGAACTAGACTTGGTAGAGCTAGGTTGCTTGGATGGTATCTGCTACAAAGGCGACGAGATTCTCAATAATGAAGGGAAATGAGAAGATGGTATGGCTTCACATCTCACTGCATCTTCATAGGTCCTCAGTTATTGTGCTTTCTGAGGTTGTCTGGTTGAGATGGAAGAAAGAAGGGGTTGTTATGAATGTAGTTCAGTCAAACTGGATTAACCCCTATGTGCACTGGTGGGGGTCAAAGTGTGTATGCTATGGCCTATTACCAATTGCCATTCAACATGGTATTATATATTTGTTATCAAAGATATCAGCCATTTATTTTACCATACATTGCTGATTTAGCGACAGCTCGTGGTAGAGGGAGTAAATACCAGATACAATACACAGTGATGCTGTAGATATGCATTTCGGAAGCCATAGACATTATGCAATTGAATATTCAAACCATGCAATGGACAAAAATATTTGTATTCTTCATATGAACACTACCTTGCACTCTGACTTGTCAGAGTCTGAATTAGAATGAGTCAGCCTTTATTAAGTACAGTTTATATTCGATAAAGATAAATTAACACTGTAACTTGTACATGTTTTTTGCTTTAGTTTAATTAAGGCTAAACTTTATGGTACTGTTATGTATCTGCTCGTTTGTTAATTTCCGGTATAAATTCT